TAGGGAAATGCTGTTCAACCTCCTGGACAGAAAGTTTCTAGATGTCATTTGGTTTGTGTTAGGTGGTGTGTCTGACAGTTTTTTAAACAGTGGTTGGATGGTTAAGGAATAGCTTGCAAGCAAACATGTAATAAATGTGGTTGTACTAGTCTGTAAAGCACCATTAAGTGCTGAAGGTGGTATAGAAATAAGTAAAAATAAGTAAAATAAAGCAAAATAGGTAAAAATAAATAAAAGAATGAGCAGCTACTTGACTTTGCTTAGGCCAAGTAGTGAAGATTCTGCATCATGTGGAGCTCTCATTTTATCACACATTGCTTGTGATTGTGGGTTGACATGTTGTAATACTCTACTTTTTTATGTTCCTGAAATAAAGTTAACTGCAATACATTTAAAATCTTCACACACAAAAAAAACAAATGGAAAAATGTTGTCTATTGTCCAGGAAAAAAAAAAATAATCAAATAGATTTGCAATGCTAAGCCAGAGAGCAAAATGCAGCTGGAGGAGCTCAGAGGCTTGCCCAGATCTGATGTGCTGTGGTGGTGAATTCATATTCGTACTGTTTCTGTGGTGATGTGTTGGTTGCTGTGGATGTGCAGAAAGGGTTGTCATCCTTTTAAAGGCTGTGCTGTACAATTACCTTGTGTTTATCAGGAGTAGATGGGATGTTATGATCAGTTACAGGTTGTAGGGGATGTTTGGTAGGTTTAGGTTACACAGATCTGGAGCGAATATTCAGGTCTTTTCTTAAAGAAGACATTGTGGTTGATTTTCTGCAGTGTTTATTGAAAAACCATACAATACAATACAGCTTGGCTGCAACATTTCTTTTTGTACAGGTAAGTATTGAATGCTTCTCACTTACAGCTAGTTAGATCAAACAAAACAACTCAAAAGTCATTAGCCTCACATTTCCATTGCCAGCAATGGACAGTACACCAGGAATATCTAATTGCTTTCAAAAGGATCAACAAGCCTGGCACTCATTTTGATGCACAGAGTGGGGCTCTTCCCTGCCACCCATGTAGGAAACTCCCATTAGCGTCTGAATTTCACACACATAGATCTGAGGAACAAGAGAACCATTGTGCATACATTGGCAAATTCAAGAGATCTAGCGGCGCTGCTTCTCCAGCACTGCCAGATTGTGTCTCAAGGAACTTGGTGTAAATGCTTTAAGACATGTCCACGTTTCACTGGGAGCAAGGGAGGGTTTGCCATTCAGGACGAGTACTTATCTTCTGATGGGGTAAGCATCTAGGCTTCTACCACCACAGGGCATATATGCTTTAACACTCTGGTTTCTATAAGACCAACGTCTATGAAGGTCTGAGAGATGAACAAATGCTGACTCAATTTTTACCACTCAAAAGTGCCTGCTAAAGAGGAAATAGAAAATATGGGAGAAATTTAAGCTATTATTCTTGTCTCATGAATGAATGTGTGCATAACTCCAAGCTGAGAACATTTTTACAGATTAGAAAAGTCTCTTTTCAATAGATGTCTGTTAGACTGAGTTCTCTGATTCTGATTTGCACTCAATATCACATCTAGAACCTGAAATAGGAGCAACTGAGTAAAAGTAATGGACCAGTCTCATTTCAGAGTTTGTTTATGCTTCCTAGAAACTGCATAGTAGAAGGCAGT